CGAAACTCTTCCTCTAATCCTCCATGGCTCAGTCGCCATTTTCCTCGTCGGATTGGCTCTCTATGCCTCCAAGTTGTCCTCTCCGATATGCGGGGTTGTTGCTGCTATCACTGGCTTCACCTTCCTCTTCTACTTGGGGACTTCCATGCTTCCGGCTCTTTTTATCGCCTGTCCTTATCGCATCACCCCCTTATTCTCTCTGGCTCAACTGGTGTTGTTTAGCTTCCGCCTCGTAAGCTGTACCTTATTGTGGACTTGGCATAATTGCACCAGTGGAGCCCAAAAACTCAAAGGATGGCCGACACTTCGTAAAAAGTCTTTAAAAACGGCCGAACATGATGAAGTGTTCCCCGATGTATCTGACCGATCACCTAGAGGACGATTTTGGTCTGCTAGCGATCTTGCATGTGACTGCTTACATTGGGTTTTCAATCATTCGTCCAATCATTCAGTAAAGGAAGCCGTCATCAGGGCAGTTTGCGAATTGCTTGATGAATGGGAATTTTTCGAAGAAGGATAGTTCCACTCCAGCCTTCGATCCAATGCCCGCACAACGCGATTTGTTCTTCTCTACCATTCTATTCTCCTTGAGCCAGTGTTCCAGTATGTCATCACTTACTACGGAGGATTTTGACCAGAGCACCTGGGGCAGGCTGATAATAAACATTGTGAAGGTCTCCTCCTTTTCTCCTTCCTTCTCGGTTGGACCCCTAACTTACCTGAAGAACGACTGGCAAGAACGGATTCATTCAATGCTAGCGAAGGCCTATCGAATGGCCGTCATGAGAAGGGACTATGCTTGATCCAGATGCCTTCTGAAATGGGGTCAGCACGAACTTATCACAGATGGGACTTTTCCCCACTTCCTGGCAATGAGAGGAGACAAAAAAGACATTTGTGATTTATTGGAGGCGGGAATAGACGTCAATCATCGCGACCACGACGGCTGGACTGGGTTGCATCGTGCCGCAGTGTTTGGCAACTTGGATGCCGTCACAGTTCTTGTGGAAAGAGAACGGTCTTTGATTTCTGTTCCAACCCACTCATCGCTGACAGCGCTTGATGTTGCACTTGAACAAGGACACTCTGACGTGGTAGCATACCTCTTAGATCAAGGTGCCGATAGACCTCCCTACGCTCTCCATGTTGCAGCACGGTTACCACAGCCAAGCATGGCAAAGGTTCTTCTGGATAGAGGATGGGACAAGAAGGTCAAAGACGACCAGGGGCGGACACCTATCGATATTGCTACAAATGATTGGGGATATGACTCCCAAATTGCCACATTCTTACAACAATATGAACTCGCCAAAGACGATGCCAACCACACCGAGAATGTGTAGGACAGTGGGATGACTGCAGAACACGATAATTCAAATGGTAGGAGTGGAGATGGGAATGATGAGCTTGACGCCGACCTCGCTTTGAAATCCGTTCCGCTCGACAACAATCCTGGGCCTGGAATCGAATTAGTAGGCAGCGGCAGTCCCCTTACGGTGTATATTGTGGTTCCGAGTCAAGAAGCCAGGAAGGTCAATGTGCTGGAGAACCTTGGGCAGCTGACCGAGTGAAGAGCGGTCGAAGAGAACTGAAAGCCGGGGTGACTTAAGATCAAAATGAAACGAATCAACACCCGTAGAGTGTAAGTCGTATATATGCGGACAGAAGCAGCCCCCAGTAGAGGGAATCTGATCAAATTCTACAGCAAGTTTTTCTGCATGAAGTCCAGACTGGCAATCGAAGCGATTGAGGCGTCGAGGATGGAGTCGTGTGAGAACTGACAAGTGATGGAAGGGTTATAGACCTGATGGACTTAGTATGTATGCTGAGCGGGTTACTAGTCTTAGTATGTATGCTGAGCGGGTTACTAGTCTTTGGTGAAGTAACAAGAAAATGCTCATCGTTCGCACCACCCTATCGATGTTCTGCCAACCTGGGAACCCTACGAGAGAGTAATCATAGTACAAGACTGTGCGGCCTCGTTGAGAGGAGTGTCATGAACAATTCGAACGCTCAGACTATAATATGGTACTTTAATGGAAATGGTCGGAGTAGAAGCAAAAATGTCGGCACCGATTGCTGCAGTGTCCATCATAATTACCTAACTTAAGAGTCTTTTTGCTTGCGCTCACATTCTAAAAAGTTTCGAAAGTCATCCAATTAGAAAACGACGGACAATATGACACAAACCTTCTCGAAATAGACAGATCCGGGTCCGTGACAGTTGACTTATACCTGTCAGGGTCGACTCAATCCTTCTCAAGGCTTAAGCACTCAAGCACTATTTTGGACTTACTAGTACACATCATGTGCCAACCAAACGACCCCTCAATCTTATGTCATCCTTACGCGTTCGTTTCTGGTGGGAAGGGAGATGATATAGGAAATTAGCTCAGGCCAGAACCTCCAGATGAGTACTGCTTGACGCATATTTCCCACTTCCTTTGTATAATCTGATTGCTATCTTTCCGAATGGACACAGCTACGAAACAGCATAGCTAATGCTCAGAAGAGTAGCGAGTTCTAGAACACGACGATAGACGCTCCAGTTGATCACAGAGTTTGAAAGCATATATAGCAATCTTGATTCATTTGCTGTTGGCCATACGTTGCCTATGCATGATTCCGGCATGAATCGTGCGTGGCAGCTGCTTCTTCTGTGGCGTATAGAATGGAAGAGTTCAACGTACTCAAGCACACCTTGAACGCCTTAATTGAATCGCCTCCTCAAACTAGTGCGGACACCAATCTTATCTTCAACAGTCTCGCTGTCGGGTAAACTATTGATGAACTGACGCCTTGTCATTGGTGTCCATCTTATTTTGCTCCAAATCTGTGGAGATGAAATATCATCCGTTCTCAGAGTTCTCACGTTCTCACGTCTTGAGTTTGTACTTCTCTAGTCTTTCCCGCCTGAATATTAGATCTCTTAAACACATCGATGTCCTTGCCAGGGTCTAGAGCTCCTGGATTTGGTATGTGTTTAAACTGCTCTGCAAACCACTGCTGATACTTATTAGGTGATGATTTTCCTAGGGTATACAACACGGATAAGCCAAGAGGTCATGAACTAGAGGAGGATACACGTGTCTGGGATATCTATCTCGACCAAGCAAAGAAATACGATGCAGACATGATACAAGGTTTTCGAAACATAATTGACGATCTCCTCGTCTTTGTAGGTTATAATATTTGTGCAAGTCCTAACCCTCTAGTTATCTTTAAGTATATAGGCTCCCCTTTTTTCGGCTGTTGTCGCAACTTTTGCAGCCCGGACGTCTCAAACACTTCAACCCGATAACACACAGATTTTGGCTTCTCTACTCCTTGAAAACAGTCAGCTTTTCAGAACCGCTGGAAATAGTATCGTCATGGACACAGTTTCTGCAGCCATTCGAGGTTCTAGAAGGACTTCGGCAGATTTATGGGTTAACGGATTATTCATCACGAGTCTCACCCTTTCTTTATCGACTGCATTGCTGACTATCTTAGCTAAACAATGGATTCAAGTATGTACATTCATGATGGCACAATCTGCAGGAATCTCAGCAATGAACAGGCTTATACTGCAATTGTTCCTGGAGATGCCAAAACTCGTGCTCTCGTCCATCAATTCCGTTTACAAGGCCTCATAAAATGGAGACTTGGCGATATCATTGAGAGTCTTCCTCTTATCCTCCACGGTTCAATTGGTATCTTCCTCATGGGCTTAGTCCTCTATATATACCAATTGTTAACTTAAATATGTGCATGTCTCGTGTTCCTCTACTAGGTACCTGTACGTCTATGCTCCCTATTTTTCACTCAAGTTGCTTGTCATTCTCATCTTCATGTCCTCTTCGGCTCAACCTTTTACATATCATGTCGTCTTGTGGCCTAGGATTGTATTTACTGGCAGACCGCACAAGTATCGCATGCAGTATGGTGTTTAGCCGTGTTCTTGCCTTTTGTGCGGCTCGGTCTAAATCGCAAATTGAAGAAGGAAGACCTTGAGCTCAACAAGCATTGTAAAACCCCTTGGGAGATAAGTAATCAAATCCCTTCATCTGATCACACTTATGCAGATACAAAACAGTGCCCGAGCGGTGAATCCACGTTTCGAAACCAGTGAGAAAACTCATCAAGTCGTGAGTTTGGACGACGGGTTGAGTGGCTCCCTGGGCCCTGGGGATAATACTCATATGAGCTGCATAGGGCGAAGAGATCTCTGAGAACATCATACCATGTTCTCTTACCTCGATCTTGTCACTGCATATCCGTATACAGGTGCTACCTGTCACTCTACACCAAGTGATCAGTCATTCAACCGATTATCTAGTGAAGGAGTTACCATCAAGATTCTTGATAGATCGCTCACTAGATCTAGATGTAATCATCATTGAGAGCAGTGAATTTCACTTCGACCCCCATGTACTGTTTTTTATACTATATATGGACTATTGTGGTGCAAAATGTTGACCAGAGCTTATGGCCAATGATCATGACGCATGTTGATTGGACCATTACATAGCGGGCACTATAGTCTTCCCTTCTGATCCTTGTTGAATGGTTCTGCCAAAGTACTAGGTCCTGTTCGAAAGCTTATGCATACAAAGAACGGCAGGAGCAGATTGCCTCATGCAATAGAATCTGGGTATGGTGATAATCCAGCAGGAGAAGAAGACCAGCAGGGAGGATGTATTTTACGGGCAAGTTTAGACCCTAGGCAAGGACAGGAAGTCTCAAACCACATGAGAAGGATGCAGTCTTGTGGTGGCAGGCAATATGTCATAAATTGCCAGAAATCAGTAATATCATATCCGTGCCGGCCTCAATTTTTGCAAGAATGTGTTTGATCTATACTGAAATATGAAAAAAAGACTGACAATTGCGGATACAACGAAAGCGAAACAAGCGGCACAAACATGTCAGAAGAGTAGCGTCTCGATGCGTATTCTGATGCATGCATTACGTAACTGCTGTCATGTTAGACCAAAAGTATTCTCAAAAACTGTAAATGATAGCAGCAACTCGTTTCGATCGAGTGACCTCGGGGTGTCGTCCACGAATCATTTAGATATGGGCCCCGCGCGCTTCCAACTGCGCCATGCTGCTCTTAAGAACCAAAGCACAACTAACTTAGAGGTCGACATGTCTTGATATGACCGGTTTTGATGAGCGCCCAGACGATGACACGCACTGTGCACATGAGACATGTCGTTACATGACATTTGGACCTGATATGAGGATATTGAATGGGGATTCTTGCGGTGAACCTTGGGGCGCTCTCCGGATGTACAGTCAGGCATGCAGTGGTCATCCGTCTCTATCCTTTGACCAATCAAAGGAACTATCAACCAGATGGGGCGAGTAGGTGTATGAACAACGAAGTGTGGCTGGTTGGTCAACGCAGGTCACCCTGAATGGGGACCGGTGAGCAAGGGACGGGCCGGCCCGATTCACAAATAGACTGATGGCATATTTGGACACGTCTCACTTGTCTTTGTTGTTTACCATGAGCCTATTTTATAGACTTTACGACAAAATACGATCACCATAATATAGCCCCCTATAGCTATGGCTTTACCTCATCACCAATTTGTTCTTTTGAATCCTTTTGCACTGCCCGACGACAGCGACGACGAGGACAGCTCATTGAATTCGTCGCAACCACATACCCCCAGTACCGTCCACCACGCTTCGGGGTTTCGTGCACAACTCAACCACCTCCTTCCTCGTCATGCTTTGTTCCATGTCAATCTTCACATCCATCAAATCGCTAATATTCCCCTCGTAAGCGGAGAGTTTGCCGTCAAGTGGAAATTCAAGAACGCGCATGGTGCTTCAGGCAACAAATCTGGCTCCGGGCTGCTCGGGAGCTTCAAAGCTCGACGAAAAGCGCGCAAAGAGGAGAAAGAGAAGCGTATTAAAGAACAATATACTGATGTCACTGAGTCTCTCGATGGCCACGTCTCTACGTCGTCTGGGAATACCACAACTATTTCATCTTCTTCATCTTCAGCCTCTTCGAAAGCACAAAAATCCACTGAAACCAACTCGTCTTCTTCGTCATCCTCTCCGCCTGTGTTACCCCCGTCTGTAAGTGCACCAACCACCCCTGCACGCGGTCAAACCCCATTTTTGCGCCTCAAAGACCATGGAGTTGTATGGGAGCATACGCTCTCCCTCCTTGTTCGTATGGATGTCGACCGAGACCCGTTGTCGATGTTACTACCGTGCCCAGTCAAGCTCACTGTCCTTCAGCGTGATCCCACGCGTCCCGAAGTTAAGTCTATACCGTTCGGCGTAGTTATGCTTGATCTAGCTCAGTATGCAAGCAAAGGTGAGGTGGAGAGACGGTATCTACTAAGAGAGAGTAAAACAAATGCCACATTGAAGGTAACATTCCGTCCGATCCATTCATCAACTTCGCTAACACCGTTTTGCAGCTTACAACACATCTCACCCATATTCCCAGCACCAACGTCTCATCATCTACTCAGCCTCCCATTCCCATCGCCTCCACATCATCCAACACCAACACCAACACCTCGCTTCCTTCCACACCTCCCCCTCCCACTACGTCTACTGCAACCAACACATTTACTGCCCCGCCACTCCCAAAAGGAGAAATACTCAATGGCATTTCCAGCATCCTCCAAGGGGATTCCCTTATAGGTGGGTTTGAAGGCGACAAGTACCGCGTCCGATCAAAAGGGCTAGATCTCTACGGGCCATACTACGATCAAGAAGAGCTCGAGTTCGGTATCCTAGGAGGTTGCGCAGCAGCAAAGTTCAGAGGAAAACGGGAGGAAATGGACAAAGCTAAACACAAACAGATTGACAAGAACGCCACACCAACACCCGCACCAACACCTATCCGGACGCGGGAGCGTTCCTCGACACAATCCTTTGATCCGTCCAGGCTTCCGCTGGCATATGGCACAAAAACGACTGAATTATTGATCGAGGCATTGTTTAATCCTGTGCAGACGAGACATAGAGAGAAGGAGAGTCCATTTACGGTGTATGTCCCTGACCTACTTGAGAAGATGCCGAAGAGACCTGCAGCGACACCGATACAACGTATGCAGGAAGATACTCCCTTATTGTTAATCGATACCTCGCCGTCAAAGTCTGGTTCAGGACATCAGAAGAATGTCTCACCATTGGCGTCCTTCACCAGTTCGCCATCCAGATCGGGAGACTCATCTAGCATAAAACTCAAAGTGACATCGACTTCCAGTTCGCCGGCCACTTCCCCTCTACTTTTTCCAACAGTATCACCACAATTTATCTCATCACCATTCTGCTTCACCTCCCCCCAACCTTCCGTCACCCCATCACCGATATCAACACCAGGTCCTACACATCCGCCGCCACTGATATACCCTTCACCTGCCTCTTCGTCAAAGAAGCGGGCAGCTAACACGGGTATTGGTGCCGGACTCGGAATCATGGGGCTTGGTATGGGTATGGGCGTCGGTATGGGCGTTCGTGTGGGTGTTAGCGGGATGCAGCGGACGAGCGTGGAAGAAGAGGGTGAGAGGATCGAAAAGAAAGAGAAGGAGCAGGCGAGTACCGGTGTCATGGCCTGGTTGAGGAGAGCAGCGAAGGGTCCGTCGAGGCCTGGGACGCCGATTACGCCTGTGGCTCAAACGCCAGTGAGTGTCACGTCTGAATGAAGTGGCGGATGGAGGAAATATTCATTGGAGAAAGTATTTTATTCACTTTTAGTGAGGATACCATTTTACTTAATTTTAAACATTCGGGTCTACTAATTGTCCTTTTGGCTGTTCTTCGGTTATTTGTACATAATTTTCATTCTAACTAGTGAAGTGACAATCAAATTTCCATCGCATCTGGTACTTATCCATAAGCATCGCATCCTAACTCAATCCTGACTGTCTGATAATGTTTCAAGCACTCGTTGCGGTTCTTTCTTCTGTCAAAGGGATCCCAGGATCTTGAAGCTCTTACAACATCGAGAGATGTTTTTCTGTCCGTATTCTTCTCCGTTATTTCCCATCTTCTTTTCAACAAAACTCTGACAACCTTGACCGAAGCTTGATCCAAGTACTCTGGTCCTGCCACATGAAGGGCGTGAACTGGCCTGTAAGTACCATTGTCGAGGAAATATTCCACCACATCAGAGTTATTCCTTTGAATGCATAGTCCTCAGACATTGAAAAGTGGTAAGGAGCCAAGTAACCTCAGTTGGTCTGTATCTCTATAAGAGATGGTTCTCTTTCAATAAAGGCAACTTGAATAACTGACTATGTTTCCACACCAGGCTGCAAGATGCAAAGAACATTTGACCAGATTCACCAGTATATATTTTGCTGAATGTCTGTTCCTTATTTTAAAGACAAAAAGGTCTTCTTTTTGCTCATTTTTTCACAAGAATTCGAAGTAGTATCCTGCGCAAAACAAGTCAATTTCATCTGGATTTGTTTTTCAACTGTTTCTAATCAGCAAAAATAGGGTCTTCAAGGTCGGCCGCATCGACTTTCTCAAAGCAGTTGCTTTGAATGGTATTGAAAGATGTCAAACTGATCCTGCTGTGCTGACCCCATTTCAGTCTTGCATTTTGAATATCAATAATTCCCGCTACTATGTAGTGGGTTTCTTGTAGCTCTATCGAAAAAAATCTCAAAGGTTGATTCAGATAAAAAGTCACGCTTTCCGGACCGTTGATCCGCCTGTAACGGTAGACTGCCAGATGAAGCAGTGTACGGTCACACAGTAGAGTCTCGCGGAAAGAACTGGTGTAAGTCCTGTCAATTGCAAGAGCTATCTCTCTAACACAGGTACATAGTAATATATATAGTACGGAATGAAACGGAATCCGGTGCGGGCAAAGTAGGATGGAAAAGAGTATAGTTTAGGCAGAAGTGATGTCACGTTCGCGCTACATACGCCCTCCAAGTCGGATAGCTTGGAATATACGGCTTTTAATAAGTAAGTAGGGGTTTTGATTAAGAAGGATAATACTTTTCTGGGGTTTGACCATGGATTCTACCCTAGGCAGGTCACTCAGCAGCAGACAGGTCCGACATGGGGTCCGCTTCCACACCGTCCTCTGGCTCCCCTTCCGCGTCGTCTTCATCATCCTCGGGGAGAGGGACGTCAGTAGGGTCGATTGCCATCTCCTTGTCAGCACGGGCCTTCCCTTTTCCTTTACGATCGGGAGATCAAATTATAATGCTGTTGGCAGTGATAGCCGGACGGAGAGTTGGCGTGGAAGCCGTAGAATGTACAGAGGTCACGGACCGGGGAGGAGCCATAGAGGTGACACGGTGGGGTCCTACTGTGCGACGTTTACTAGCTTCATAAGTGGTAGATGGGCCCGGCCCAGCAGTAGAGTTAGATTCGTTCATGATAGAATGAGATCGTTTGGGCAGGTAATATGTGTGGATAGGATTGTTAAGGTGTCAAGCGTGAAACTGTTTGGTCCGCTGAACACGCTCACCGGAGGGGGCTTGCCAGGCTCAAACTGCATCCTCAACGGTCTGTTTATCCACATTCCCCTGCTTGGTGATGAATCCAAGGGTGGTGAGTAGATCAAGATGGGGATCTACGAAAGCAGTGAGTAGGAAGCCGGTGGGGAAAGCGGTCTTGACCTTGGACCAAGTCTCTGTTTGATGGTCATACTCCACCAGTCTGTACTGACACTCAGTGGCTGGGTTGGCTAGGTTCAATATATTGGCTACTGTCTCGTATCCCACGGGAAAAGGTGACCTGGGGTGTCCACGGGTCTGACATATCTCCAGTTCGTACTCCAAGTAAATATGGAGTTGCAGAGGGTGGACCACCAGAGGGTTGTCAGGGTTCCGAGGGTCAAAGAGGATTACCATTCTCGTGGTCGAATCTATTGTGACGAAAGGATGATGGAGGGGGCGTCCCTTCAAGTCATTGTTCCCCTTGCCACGGTTGCCAAATGGGTGGGCCATAGAAGTAGGTAGAGATGCAGTGGGAGCAGGAGCGAGGGCTTAAGAGGTCCAAAGCAGGTGATGAAGTAGGTGGCCTGACAGTGGGGTGATGAATGTGAGTTCCTTCCCCCTCATCAGCCCCTTTATATCCAATAAAACTTATAAGACCCAGAAATATTTGTG